TCCTTTGATAGCTACAAGACACATATAACAAAAGCAATAGTACATCAGCAGTCTCAATATTAAATATGGATTGGAAAATGAAAGAAGCTAATCAATGAGATAAACAAGGCAAAATAACACAAAGAAGGGACCATTAATTATAAATAGAACACAAAGAAGGGACCATAGATAATAAATAGCACACAAAGACAATAGCTAGCTCTATAGGAGAATTTGGATAATATCAATAAGAACATGCAAGTATCGTTGAATTTTTCCCCACATGCATGATTGGAAAAAAAAAACTAAATTACAAAAAAAAAAAGAAACTATGTGATTAGAGATCAAATAAATTTGTTTTCTTGAAATTTAAAAACTAACACTTTATGATATTTTTGTGATTTTTATTAATTTTTAAGTAAATGCTGTTCTTAAAAGAAAAGAAATAAGAGTAAGCATAACTTATTCAAGCATACTTATAAAATATAATAAGGTGATAATATTTTAATACCATTTGTTAAAATTAAAAATTTTATTGAATGTGTATAGAAAACGAATTTTTATATTATTAAGTTTAAAATTTTTCATATCTGTTTATAAGTTAAGTTTTCATCATATTGATATATCCAACTAATTGTCCTTTAAAAATGCATTTTGTTATTGCAACTTTCAGACAAAAACATAGAAAAAAAACATTGTTTTCCTGTTTGATTTTAATGAATTAATGCAACAATAATTAGATTAATTAGAACTTTAAATGGTTAAATCAAATAATTATATTATTCTTCTATTACAATACATTAGTTGCATTTATCATGGCTCATGAGTCATAAGCTCATCGCCCTCAATATTCATGCCTTCTTTTATCTTTTTTTTAAAAAATTAATTGGAAAGTTGTAAATAAAGTATATCATCAATAATAAGGTTTTTGAAATTTTAACCCTAATTTCAAATTTCTCTAATTCTCATAGAAATTTTATTGTAATGCCAAACTCAAAGTCAAAATATATTTTCTATTATTGCCATGATGTAGTACATACATTAACTAAGGGCAAACATCTATAACTTAATATTAAAGTTATCCCCAAGGGTTTTATAGCTCAATTTTTAGCCAGATGAGGTAGGGAATTAAGGTTGATTTGAAGGGTAATTTTGAAAGTAAAAGAGCATCCTTTGATTACACTACTTAGCTTGATACGTGGCTTTTTGCATTGAAACAAAAAATAAACAAAGAACTATAGAAGCTTCTAGAGATAGGCTTGGGGGAAAAGGGAGAAAGATAAAAAGAGAAAGGAGAAGAAAGAAGGAAGATTGAGGCAAAAAAGCCTTACTAATAGATTGAAGAACATTTTGACTATAAACCCTATTTATAGATTTCTATTTTGGGAAGCAAAATTAAATAAATTCGACGACAGAACCTCCTCAAAACATGACAAAGAGTCTCTTTAAATATTCATGAGGTGAAAAAATATTTTTAAATTATTACCAACATATTAAAGTACTTTAAGAGAAATTTTCAATATTAAATTATTTAGTAAATTTTAAATATGTTTTTAAGGCTTGAAAAATTGAAATCAGACTGGTACTATTTTTTGGAAAGGTACTGTGAGGGTGCTATAATTTTTCTTATGTATAACTATACTCCCAGACCTAAAATTTGATTTTGTGGACTAAAATTTACTATTTAAAGATACTTAAGTTAATTTTTGAACTCCTTTTTAAATGGAATAGATTCTATCAGGTGATCAATTACAGCTTAATAAAAAAAATTGATGGTAACTCTTTTAGTCTATGTCTAGTGGTAGGTTCACGGATCTACATATTATGACAGTTTAATGACTCTACTGGATAGATCGAGAGTCAGGTCAGTAAATGATTTCTTATTATTCAAGCTTAATTTAATAAATTGGAGATTTTTTTCTTTCTTATTTGTATTTATTTATTCATTTTATATATCTGTTATTATTTGTACATGCATAACATAAGATTTACATCTGAATTCTGTCCTTTAAGAGGGAGTAAAGTACCTATGTTTTGTGAGATTTCATATCTTCGCATGGGCTAGTGAAAAACTCTTACCAAAATTGAACTATTTTCACTTGTAGCCTATAATAGGTAAGGATTGAAATATCTTATTAGTCTATAATAGGCAATGATGTAAGAAATAATTTGAGAACCTTTAAAAATAACTCAAACCACATATAGTTAACCATATGAGCTTAGCCCATATGTAGAGCCATGTTCCCTTAACCTTTAGAGTTTACCTGAATTAATGCCATGTTGGTTGTTGTAGTTATTTATGTTTTATTATCTATGTATTGATTGACTAATTTCTTTGTTTATTCTTACCTTGCATATTCATAAAAACATTCATATAGATTGCATAACATACTTGTCTTAAGGATATTTTCAGCAAAAGATTTCATGGAACTCACTGAATGTCTAGTTTGCGCCTCATCTCTGTTCTCCGAGTGTGAGTTACCTTAATGTGAAGGTGGAGTCAGAAATAAGGCAACCAAAAGCAGGTGATTGCTTATCACCCAGACAAGGTTTCCACCCTGCCTAAAGAGGTTTATTTGCTCCTTAAACACAATGATTTGAAAGACTTGTTAGATATTCAAAAAAGTATGAGTTAGTCCAGATAATTAGCCTTTTGTGAGAAGTATAGTCATATTGTACATCTCTTTTTAGTTGTGGTTGAATATTCCCTTATCAGAGCCGCGGTGCAATTCTGACATCTTCCATATAACTGCTTCCACTAGGTAGTTTTATTTTTATTAGCCCACTCTAGTTTCAGCTGTATCATGTTGGATGGTTTACAAAGTCATATTTTAGGCTTTATCTTTTGTTGAATGCCTCAAGTTGAAGCAATACTTTGTCTTTTTATGGATTGTTATATATTTTAATGAGGTCTTTTTGTGGATTGTTTTATATTTTAATGAGGTATCTCATTACATGAATTTTAGTGATTAATTGATAATAATTTCTCATTAGATTTATGTCTAATTCATTGAAAAAATATCATATAATTAAAGATAATAATATTGATTTTATTATTATAAATCTGTTATGAGTTGTTACAGGTCTTTATCAGTAAAAATCATGAAAATCAATCATCTTTATTGAGCACCTACCATATGAGACTGCTGAACATTTTAGCTTTGACACACTTTATACAATACTATTTCAAGTTGTATTAATGAAGCATTTCTCTGGCCATGTGATATCTTAATTTCGATAAAAATTTCAACCAGCTATGAAACCATTGTCATATATACAAATGTTCTTGCGTATGTTCAAATAAGTGAAAAGTAACATCAAAACTAATAAATATAGCGACAAAAGTTATCAAATCAAGTATAGGGTGTGCAACTGAATGAAAAAGTGATTGCTTCTCTTTACCTTTCCCATGTGTGTGGCTTATCAGTCACTTATATGGACAAGAAAAGTTTATCCACCTATGGCCATTATTATGTCATTTCAGGAATAGATAAACAGTAGAAGGTAACCATAAAAGGAACTAAAGGGTGGCCTGATTTTATAATTGGTAGCTCGTTTTTAGTACCTTTGGACGAAGCAATCGATCTATCTTAGTGAATAGATCAAGCATGGTGTTAAAAGTCATACACCTTAGGCAAAAAAAAAAAAAAATACAAATAAATATTTATTATTTTATTTATTTTAAACATATTATATAGTTTTTAAAATATCATTGTTTTTATTCTTGTAATGGGGACATGCAATCTAATTTTAATTATAATTAATAATTTCATTGTAATCATACGTGGAATCTAAATAAATGTACATTTTTTTCCAAAAAAAATAATCTTACGTCTCTATAGCCTCTACCGTATATAAGACAATCTATTTGTCTCTTTCCTGTTGTTATTACTTAACTTTCTTGCAGAAATCTCATAATTGAACTGTAATAAATGTCATGGATTTAACCTTTTAACTCTAGGCTTTGTAGCTTTCATGTCTATAAGAGAATCTATTTGTCTCTTTCCCGTTGTTATTACTTAACTTTCTTGCAGAAACATCGTAATTGTAACTGCAATAAATGTCATGGATTTTACTTTTTAACTCCTAACTCTTGTAGCTTTCATTGTATGTATCTTACTTGTTTCACTGACCGTTTTGTCCTTTTCCTTTTGTTTTTAGGGAGGGGGTTGAATTTCTTTTTTTTTCCCCCTTTTTTCTTACCAATTTAACTTATTTAATTTTATTTCATTCTCATAAAAAAATTTAGTCATTTTTTGTTGTTAAAAACCTGGCAGTGAATTGAATCTACAATTAAGTTAAAATTTTATTTACGTTTATATTAAAATTGTTCAAAATAACCATTAACAAAAGAGTATTTTGATTCATTGATTGATATTTGTACCTTTTGCTCAAATAATAAAGTAACAAATTCAAAACCCATTTTTCAAATTAAAAAAACCCATCAATTACTATAAATTAATTTTAAACATTTTGAAGCTATAAAGATAATTATTAAATCATTAACATGGCTTCAAAACATTCTTCTTTAAATAGCTGTTAATAAGAATAACATAAAATATGTTATAGTTATTTTTTACATTCAATGTACTATATGGATAGGGGAATACATAAAATTAAATATGTAACGTCAGAAATTAAAAGATTTGTTTGGAAATTTCTTGAAAATCTTATAAAAGGTTCTTCTCTCAATTGGAACCTTGGGCAAAATGGTTCATATATATATATATATATTGAATTAAAAAAATGATTAGTTTAAGGAAATAAAATAGTTCGAATTAAAGCAGATGTCTTGGATCATGATCCTTCAATTAAAACCACCACATGGGTTTCAATTATTTAGTTAGTTCTCATAAAAAAAATGCAGTAATAATATAGCCAGCCTTTCTAGGATCTGCAATTTCAACTCCATTAATGGTAGATATATAAAGTTTTTAATTGCAAATTTCCAATAAGAAAAAAAATTGAATAACAATTAAAATTAAAAGAAGAGAGAGAGAGAGAGGACATCATAATGCTGTTTTTGAGTAGTAAATGAAGTAATTAATATAAAATTAGAATTTGGAGCAAAAATTGAGTGGAATTAAAGATCTTAATTTTATTTCTTATTATTTCTTTCTTCTTCAGGACATTCTTTTAATTCCATTCAATTGCAATTCTAGAAATTAACTTAAATATTTGAAGCTTAGAAACAAATAATTAAAACAACAAAGATGATAATGATGAGTTTACAATTATGTTCATATAACATCATATTCTTCCATCCATTGTTTTGATCCATTATGCATGAGCCCAGGACTCAACTTAAACATGAGAATACAAAACTCAACCTGGTTCAAAGCACCATCTCCATCCAAATCCCCTTCACTCAACATGCAAACAATCTCATCATCCCTTATGTCACTCAACCCCAACACAATGCTGTTCCTCTTCAAGCTCTCGAACGTGATCAGCCCTCTTTCGCCATCCATCAGCAGCCGGAACCCGTTGCAAAGCTCCCCTATAAACCCTTCAGCTCCCAATCTCTCAACCATCGATGGAAAGTAATCCTCGAAATCAACTGCAATGTCAAGTTCCATGTCCTTAGGACGATCAAAAAGCTAGGTAAACAATGTAGTTTTCGATACCCGGTTAGGGTTTTTGTTTTGTTTGTAACTTGTGGACTAAGCTGAGTGAATAGGAGAGGTGGAGGAGGAAGGAGGAGGAAGGGGATTATATAAAGGGGATTTCAAGGGGAGGAGATCAGGTTTTTCCAGGAAAGAGTGAATGGTCATTGAAGACAATTGAGGGTACAGATAATAAGATAACTTTTTATGGTGGACTAGTGAGCTTCTTGCAAGTTGCACCTTTCATTGGGTAGCATCCTTTTCTTTAGGTTTCCTGTGAAGACCCTACTTCCAGGAAGTTGCATGGGTTACATATCGATCTCTTTTCCTTTTTGTGTTTTGCGGTTTCTGAAAATAAACAAAGTTTACCACATAATTACACTTGTACCATGCCATTTTTCAATGTCATATTTGGTCGTTAAAGGGTTAATTCCACTCGTTCAAATTATCTAGAATAATTTATTGTTTAGATTGTTTATTAACTTCTATTCTCACTACACGTGTTTCATATGATTTACCTTTTTGCTTTTAGCTTTTTTTTTTTTTTTTCAAATTCTTTGGATAGTTCATTTGTTTTGTGTATGTGCATATCCTTTGAGAATCTAATAATGTTGAGGACTCAAACTAGAATATCCCTTTGTTCATGTTGTTCATCCCAATACGTGGAGCCCAAAAACAAGATTCTTTATTTTTGTGGGGGGTGGGGGACTTAAGGAATTCTTTGTTTTTGTTTAGTGTCAAAAGGGAAAATTAGGGAAAATTATAAGATCTGAAAAGCAGATATATGTATAGCTGAGGCCATTTTCGTACCCCTCGATGTCCTTTTGGATGTCCTCCATCCCTTTGCTAATTTGCCATGTGACGGCCTGACTAGGACATGGTTTGTTGTGGATGTTTTAATTTGGACCCTAGTTCATAATTTTTACACTAATAATAGCAATAAATGATGGGAATTGGGAAAATATAGCATCAAATTAAGCTATTAATGTAATGATTAATGGGATACACAATATTATTTATTTTTTTTTGCTTATTATTGTCAATTATAATCAGGAATTGAATCATTGAAATTAAAAAAATTAATATTTTATTAAATTGGTAAGCATTTTTTAAATTTGTTTTCGAATTGTGCATTGTTCATTAGATATATTTTAACTTAGTTGGACTAATTGGGATTAAAGTAGAATGTTTCAAAAGGTTTTAATTTATTTAAATAATAAAAAAAAGAAAGAAATTAAGCCTATTTTTCTTTACTTAAGATTTTTATTAAATTTGTATTAACTTAATTTAGCATGGTGGATATTAAAATTATAAATATTAAATTTTGGAATATTATCAATGAAATGATATTAAAATTCAAGATGCTCGGGGAAGCATGATATGATATCTGTTTGATGTAGAATTTTTATGGCTCCTTTTCAAGAAGACAAAGGAAAATTTGACATTTCAAAATTTATGTTCCCACTTGTTTGGACAAAATTTGAAAACAAATTGAAGTTTGAATAAAAAAATTAAAAAGAAGAATTTGAACAACAAAATTAAAAAGAAGAAATGATGTGAAGTGAGAACTGCCATGTGACTGCAAAAAAAAGAAAAGAAAAATCCAAACCATTGGGGTAACTTTCATTGATTCTTTAATTACATCTTTCAGACAACAGGAAGTTTCAATGCAGCTTCCTTTACCATTTTCCTTCAATTAAAGTACAAAAATTTAGCCATAACCCTTTTTTTAGAATGATTTTACTTCAAATACCACCAAAAATCAATTAAGAAATTGGGGTCACAAAAAAATTTTGTTTGATATAAGCCCTGCTTCATGGATCTTTCCATCACTGATTCACAAACAGAAGTTGGAGTTGTTCTTTTTCTTCCGTTATATTTTGGAAGTTGGAGGAAATTGAGGAGAATACAAATTGGCCTTGATTTCAGCGATAAGTAGCAACTATTATAGAGTAGAAGTTAGAGAATATGTTGAAAACCCAGATTTTATGTGTTCATATCTTGTGGGAAAAAAAAAGGAGGAAGACAAAGATTTGGGGTAAAGTACCCATGAATGGACAACATACATGAGTTTTGCATTGTAATTAACTTTTACTCTATATTCAATTTTTTAACAGTAAATGGAATGATCATATGGATCTTGTTCACCCCATGACCAGATTGATGACATTGAGAAACATATAAACTTTTTAAAATAAATTAAAAATTTCATCATTTGTCTGAAATAAAGCTGGATAATCTGTTACCATAAAATTGAGTTATAAATGCATAACACATTTTTTAGATTAATCATAATCAGGATTATCAAAATATTGATCAACAGTACTGAAGATATTAAAATCCATGAGTATATATAAAGAAATTATTTCATCTATTAGAATCGAATTTTTAGATTTCACAAATGACATTAGCATGACAATATATATTTTAGGATATTTTATAAAATATTATTAAAAAAGGGGGCAGTTGTCAATTTTTAATTCCCGATTCTAAATTTAAAAAATATATATATATATTTATTTATATACACACACATGTATGTCTTATCCATTAATGTACGGACATAATTGTTTTTGTTCCGAGGAGCCTGCTTGGTGGACTATTTGATGACGTGTCAAATTGTTGCTTTCAAGAGACGAGGCCAAACTGATAAAGTTATTTTGTCTTCAAATTTAGGTATCAATTACTTGGCTAGATCTTGTGGGATTTAGCCTTCTAGAATTTTTTTTCTTGAATTCTGCAGCATTTATCCCTTAATCTTGACTGGATGAGGTCAGATTAATTTGATAAAAAATGAATAGCTCATTACAATAAAACAGGGAAGAGGTTTTTCTGTCGCTAATAACCCTAACAGCGATGGATTTTTTGGAAAAAAATTTAGCCCTTTATTGGCAGAATTACCGATGAATTTCTATCAGTAAAGTGCTAAATTTTGCAATGGAAATAGAATCTGTCACTAAGTTTGTTGTTATTTTTTGGCGTCAAAGAATCTGATAACCTGCTAATTTAGCAATGGAGTTAGCGACAGATTCAATTTTCGTTGCAAAACAAGGCAATACTGATAGAATTTAATATGGAAAATTTTTGTCAAATTAAATTTCCAGATTTCTTTAAATTGAAAAAATTAATTTTATAATTTTAATAATGATTTTTATTTAATTATTTAATTTTTATGAATTAATTGGGAATCAGTGACGGAATTCCATCACTAATGTTCTTTAAATTTTAAAACCGGTCTCCTTCTCCTCTTCTTTTTCTTTCTTTTCCTCTCCCGACCCCCCGTAGCCTCTAGCTGACTGCAGCCATGACCTGTGTCCTTCGATAGCTGTAAGCTTCTCCGTCCCCCCTAGACCATATCCCGCTGGTAGCCGCCATTGCTGATGCCCTTTGCCGCCGGTTTTCCTTCTAAAAGTGCTCTGAATTCTCCTTTTTTCGATGAAACTAATGGGCCCACCACTAGTCTCCTTCACTAGAAATTCTTTCTCTCAACCTCCTCTAACTGTTCATAACTCCTAAACGCTGGTATAATCATGAATCAAAGATTTTTTTGGGTTATTTATTTATTTATTTATTTTTTAAATTTTAGTTTATTTTTTAGTTGATGTGTATAATATGTATATGTTAATTGTTTAAATTTAAGGATTTAGGTTAGATTTTTTTTTTTATTTTAGCTAAATTTTTTAGATTTTTAAAAACTAATAATTTGTTTTAAAATTTACAGGTTAGTACTTGTGTCACGAACTTAAAGGGAGAATCATGAATCTCACATCAAACATAATATGAGGGTTACTGGGGTATAAAAGGGTTCATACTATCTCTTCCTTGTGCGACGCCTTTTGTAGGACAAAACCGTGAGGTCAAGGGGGTCAGAGCGGATAATACCTCACAAGGGTGTGAACCGTGGCAGGTAGGCTGATCTGAGACGCCGAAAGGGTGAATGCCCGGGTCCCAAAGCCGCGCGGGTTCGGAGCTTAAGTCTCGACCCGTGACAAGTGGTATCAGAGCCAGCCCTAAACCGTTCGATCCACGTCAAACACCTCAAGGGAGGCAGGCAGGGTGGTCAGCCTCTGTGACGAGGACGTCACGAGATTGGGTGCGGAAGAATGTCACGGACCTAAGGGGGAGTCCTGAATCTCACATCGAACATAATATGAGGGTCACTGGGGTATAAAAAGGTTCACATCATCTCTTCTTGTGAGGCGCCTTTTGTAGGATAAAACTGTGAGGCTAATGGGGTCAGAGCGGACAATATCTCATAAGGGTGTGAACCGTGACAGGTAAGCTGATCTGGGATGTCGGAAGGGTGAATGCTCGAGTCCCGAAATCGTGCGAATTCGAAGTTTAAGTCTCGACCCGTGACACTTGCAGAAGATATTGGTTTTAGTTCAACATCACTTAGGTAATAATCTTTACAATTAAATTTTAAAATTTTAAAAGTAGTAGGTTTAGGGTTTAGGGTTTAGGGTAATTTTTGAATACTGTGAAATTGATGTGAAATTATTGTGAAAATTATGAAAATGCTGCTGAATTTGTGAATTTGTTGTTAAGTTTTTGAAATTAATACTGATTTTGAGAAATTGATACTGAATTTTTGAAATTTGTATGTAGTCTTATTGTGAAAATTGTGAAATAGATGTTGAATTTGTGAAATTAGTATGAAATTACTGTGGAAATTGTGATAATTGATACCAATTATTTGAAATTGGTATGGAGTCTTATTGTGAAAATTATGAAATTGATACTGAATTTGGTGGTATATGTTAATTTGAAAGTTATGAATATGTAATTGCTTTTGAGTTTATGAAATTGGTGTAGAATTATTGTGGGAACTGTGAAATTTGTATGGAATTTGTGGATTTTAAATTATGAAATTGTTGGATTTGTAAATTTGATGTTGTGAATTTCGTGAAATTTGTTAATTTGAAAGTTATGAATGTGTAATTGTCGTTGAATTTATGAAATTGGTATGGAATTATTGTGGGAATTTGTGAAATTTGTGTGGAATTTATGGATTTCAAGTTGTGAGCATGTGATTTTGCCTTTTTTTTTTATTTGTTTTCAATGTTTTTACTTTTTCTCTTCAATCTTTGCAGGTTGGTGATGATGGGTTGGTACGGTTCACTTGACAAGTTCTTTTTATAAGTTAGTTAGATAGTGAAAT